GGGGGGTTTGGGGGTGGTCCCCAAGAAGGGCCGGGGGTTGGGTACATGGGAGGGGCTGGGACTGGTCCCCAAGCAGGTCCATGGGGGTAGATGGAAGGGGCTGGGGCTGGTCCCCAAGCAGGGCTGGGGGGGGATATGGGAGGGGCTGGAGGAGCTGCTCCCTGGCCGTGGCTGAGCGTGGCTGTGTCGGTCCCAGGCGTCCTGCGGCTGAACGAGGCGGCCCTGGCCGCGCGCGGCGGGCCAGCACCTGTGGCTGCTCCCACAGCAGACGTACCTGAACGTGGAGGATGATGAGGGAAGCACCCTGGAGAAGAAGAGGAACATCATCTGCTGCCTCATCATCCAGATCCTGAAAGGGGAGAAGGAGCTGCACATCGATAACCTGGTGTTCAGGGTACGGGTCCTGGCAGGGGAGCGGCCGCGGAGCTCCGTGCCCGGGCATCGTCGGGGTAACTGTGCCCTCTCCCCCCCAGGTGATCGACGCCTGTCAGAAATGGGAGTCGGGCCCCGCCCTGCAGTTCCTCAGCTTTTGCTGCAGCAGCACGGACGTGCTGTCCTGCATCCTGCACCTGCTGAGCCAGGGCTACCTGCGGCGCCAGGAGGAGAACCCCCAGCTGCTGGCGTACGTCTCCGCGGAGCCCATGCCCTCCCCGCCCCCGCAGCGCCCGCCCCAAGTCACCTTCCAGACCGTGGAGATCAAGACTATGCCCAACGCAGCCTGCACCGAGAGGAGACAGACCTTCTCTACCTTCAGGTAGAAGCGGAGCAGGGCTGTGTAAGCAGGCCAGGTGGGCACGAACACTGCACCAGGGGAGTGCCAGAGCCATCAGCCACAGGCAGGGCATCGGCTGCTCGGTGCTGGGGGCCTAGGCGTGCCCAGAGCTTGAGCGAGGAGAGCAGCCCAGCCTGGGCCCAGCCACGGCCCCTGGAGCATGAGACACGATTCCCAAGGGCTTGGGGGTTTTAATTTAAATAAAACAGCTGTGCTGATCTGTGCCCACAGTCCTGGGCCCTACCAGGGAACAGCAGAGCTTGGGCACAGCTAGAGGGACTCCCTCCCTTGCCCTGGTGCTACCACCCCGCACTAGGGTTCAGGCAGCTGGCTGAAGATCCTAAAGCTGGGCCAGGGCAGAACGGAGCAGTCCTCCTCCCTGAGGTCCAGCTCCATTGGCAGCTCCTGATTCCCCCTTGTGCCCGGGGGGGGGGGGGTCAGCGTTGAAGGCAGGTCCCTGGAGCTGGGCTGGGTATTCTGGCCCCGCACTGGCTGGCACGCTGTCTCCTGGGGGTTGTGCATTGGGCAGCGCCTGGCGTCTGCAGCAGCCACAGCCATGCATGGTTTGTAGGCCCCCAGTGTCCCCCACAACGCAGCTGGCTGGGCGGCAGCAGCATTGGCCCTGGCTGAGGGGCTCTGCACCACCTTCCCGCCCAGGGCCCAGCTGCACGCACCTTGCACCCCAGTCACAGTGGTACCAGCATTAATTTATTAAAATTAATCCAGAAAAGCAACCGTACAGTAAGTTTAAAAAAAATAGAATCTTGTAAAAAAACAGGGTAACGCGCCCAGGGCTCCGAGGGGCTGGGCTTGGAGCCTTCCAGGCAGAGGGCAGGAGTGTGACATCAGCCCAAGTGCCAGAGCTACCATGCTACTGTGAACCCCATGCCAGCAGTAAATGGAAAGACACAGCCGTGCCCAGGGTCCCCCCATCTGCAGCCCAGCCTCCTCCTGAGCCCCATTGCTCCGGAGCAGCAGGTGGGCCTGCCCCTAGCTTTTCTGGGCAGGGGGTGCCAAGGACAGGGGTGGGGGGCTGATGTAGTAATGGGCTGCAGCTCAGACTGGCTGGGTGCTGACTCCTGGCACTGAGGGCACAGCTGGGCCAGCCCAGCTTTCTGCTCCCCCTAGGCCAGGGCCTGGGACCTCACTGGGGAGCACAGGGTGGCATGGGCACTGCCAAGCACACCTGCCTTGAGTTCCTGCAGCAGGCACAGCTTCCCCCCTTGCTCTTCCTAGGGCTGGGGCCCCACCGCTGATGGTGGAGGAGGCCCCCACCTGCCACATTCATGGCTTCCTCCATGCAGCTCTAGGTGAGCCTCAGCTGGTCCAGTGTTCCCGAGCATGGGGGTGGGGCAGGGGGGAAGAGCTGGGCCCAGGCTCAGCCCCATGGCCTCTGGGGTGCTGCAGGGCCCTGAGCCCAGGCTCACCGGGCCCTTGAGCAAAGGGTGACAGCCCCTAACCGAAACGGCAGGGTGGGGCAGAGACCCCTCACTCCCTGGAGCTGCCAGTGGGGCCCTGGTGCTTCCGAAAGGGGGCAACGGCATTAGGCTCTTGCCCCAGGGTGTGACTGGCTGAGCTGGCCTCCAGGCGGGAGCCAGAGCAGCCTGTTCTGCCCCCACAGGTACAGCACCAGTAAGACTTCCTCCAGTTGCTCCCAGTCCCCCTCCCTTCCTCAGGGTGGGACCCCTGGCTAGTGGGAGGCTGGCTTGGGCACCACGTGGATCCCCCTGCTGCACCAGTTCTAGGTGCATGTTAAAAGGCCCATGGGGGGGAAGAGAGAGTGGGAACGGCCAGGGCACAGCACCTGGAGCTGGGCAGCAGGAACCTCCCCCAGTGCTCAGCAGAAGCGACAGGCCATGGACATCGCCTCCTCCTGCCACACTCAGAGTCCCGGCTGCCCGGCTGGCTCACACGCTCTTTGAGTAGCCAAAGATGCCCACGGGGAGATGCTTGACATGTGTTGGCCACTGCGCTGCTAGCTGGAAGAACTTCACATCGTTCCACTCCACGCCATCAATGGACACTGAGAGGAGAGAGCAGAGTGCAGAACATAAGAGCGGCCACACTGGGTCAGAGCAATGGTCCATCTAGCCCAGTATCCTGTCTGCCAACAGTGGCCAGAAGCCCCAGAGGGAATGAACAGAACAGGGAATCATCAAGTGATCCTCCCCTATTGCCCATTCCCAACTTCTGGCAAACAGAGGCTAGGGACACCATCCCTGCCCAGCCTGGCTAATAGTCATTGTTGGACCCAACCCCCATGAACTTCTCTCGTTCTTTTTTGAGCCCTGTTATAGTCTTGGCCTTCACAACATCCCCTGGCAAGGAGTTCCACAGGTTGACTGTGCATTATATGAAAAAAAATATTTTTGTTTGTTTTAAACCTGCTGCCTATTAATTTCATTTGGTGGCCTCTAGTTCTTGTGTTATGAGAAGGAGTAAATAACACTTCCTCATTCACTTTCTCCACACCAGTCATGATTTTATAGACCTCTATCCTATCCCGCCTTAGTCGTCTCTTTTCCAAGCTGAAAAGTCTCAGTCTAATTAATCTCTCCTCATACGGCAGCCATTCCATCCCCCTAAACATTTTTGTTGCCCTTTTCTGAATCTGTTACAGCAGGCAGTATCCAAGATGGGGGCGTACCATGAATTTATAGAGGCAAGAGGATATTTCCTGTCATAGGATCTAGCCCTTTCCTAATGGTGCCCAGAGTTCTGTTAACTGTGTCAGAGCACCGCCGCGGCTCAGCAAGGGCCAGGCAGGGCTCAGAGTGCACAGAGAGAGAGAGACTCGGGGAGAGGTCAGCCAGCCCTGTGGCCCAGCGCATGCTGCAGCCTGGCGGTGTCCGAGCAGTGGGGCAGAGCTGTTGGCCTGGTGGGCTCTGGCATGGTGCCAGGTGCCGGAGAAGCTGGGCACTAGGGATTTAGGGTGCTGGGCTGCCCTCACCTCGGAGCATGGTGTTCTGGTGCTTAGCTGTACAGATCAGGCGCGTAATCCCTTCGATGACTTGGCTTTTGGGCTCCAGGTCCTTCTCCTTGGGTTTCTTACTCAGGAACATCACTGGGAGAAGAAAGCAAAGACTCTTCGACCCAGCCCTGCCAGGGGAGCAAGGCAGGGACTCTCTGCCCCCGCCAGGGTTGGTACAGGAGTGCGGGCCCTGCGCGGGGGCCGCATGGGCCTTTGCCAGCTGTTACCTTTCTTGTTCTTCTCCTTGGTGACCACGGTCATGGCCATGGTGCTGGGGGGGACCAGCTCCCCAGGGCTGGGCACGCGGCTGACCTGCAGGGATCGAAAGTTGCTCTTCAGCGTGTTCTTCAAGCCCATCTCCCGCTTCTCTCCCTCCTTCTTCTTCTCCGGCCCCTGGGTTGTCCAGTAGTCGACCTGCAGGCCCATCACCTCCATGCCGGGGCTTAGGGACCTGGGCGACAACCACAGCCACATAGCACCAGGCCACGCTCCGCCCCTCAGCGCTGGGCCTCGCCACGCCATTCCCACCCCCTCCTCACCTCGCACCAGCCATTGGCCCCCTTCTGGGTCCTGCTGCCCCACAGCCAGCTCCAGCCCCTCCTCCCCATGGGCGTCACCCATGTGGCCCAAGGGGCCTGGGCCCATTGCCTGCAATCTCCGCTTTCGTTTAACAGCCGAAGAGTCTCGGGCCCGGGGGTCTGGCTGTGTGTGGCACAGCCCCCGCCCCTCACTGCCTGGCAGCGTGTGGGCCCCCTCCCTTCTGGGCCAGGGCGTGGGGGGACGCAGAGGAGGCTGAACCCGCCAGCCCTGGGCTCTCGCTGCCTCCTGCTGGGACAGAGGAGTGTGGCTGGCTCTGCTGGAGTGAGCAGCAAGGAAACGGTTAACAAGGCTGCTGTGCCCGGTCCCCAGGGACATTAACTCTGCTGGCCTCCCTCCAGTCCCCCTGGCGGAGCCTCACCCAGCCCCCGAGAGGCTGCTGCTGACGGACGGGGAGGGCGGCGGGGTGCCCATGGCCTCCTTGCTGTGGGGGGTCCCTGCGCCGGCTGGAGGTGTGGAGCTCAGCAGGGAACTGGTGCAGACCGTGGCATCGTCAGAGTCCACTAGCATGAGGGAAAGGCAGGGCCAAGTTAGAGGGGCGAGGGGGGCTGCTCTGGGGCAGAAGGCCATGACACCCCATTGCCTGTGGCTCTGTGGGGGGGCAGGATGGGCACTCACAGCCAGGGCTCACCACTGGTGCGTCTCCCTTCGGGCAGTCCTGGTGCTCTGGCCCTGAGGGGTGTAGATGGGACCTTCCCAGCTCCCTTGGCCAGCCGAGGCTGTAGCAGGGCTCGGGGAGGGAGGGGGGGGCCCCCTTGGGGTTCCCCACCAGAGGGGTCCCTGCTGTCCCCAGTGGATCCGGGCTGGGCGCCCGCTGCTCAGTGGGGAAGAGGCAGAGCCAGGAGCAGTGAAACACGCAGCCTGGCATTGAGGGGCACAGCCAGCCAGGCAGCTGCCCAGCCCCGTGGCTCTGGGACGCAGGGAGGGCTCACCTGAGGCGCTGAAGGACTGTTCCACGAGCCCCACCTTCACCACCTGCAGACAGAGAGACCTTAGACACCTCCCCTGGCCCTGCGGCCAGCCCCCCTCCCTACCGCCCCCCCCCCCAGTGTCCATGCGCCTGGCAGGGCTGGCGTGCGGTGTCTGCACCCCCCCTTACCATCAGACACTCACCCCGACAAATGGCACAAACTTCTGGCAGGAGTCGTCGTCTGGGCTAAGCGAGGGAAGAGCGGAAAGGTCAGACGGCAAACCCGCTGCCCGGAGCACGCTGCTGCCTTCGGGGCGCCAGTCCGCCGGGCAGGACCCTGCCTTGCCACCTACGGGCCGAGCAAGGCTTTCTGCAGGGCCATGCCCGGCCCTCCTGGCTGGCAGGGGGAGCCCCTAGTCATTCACCACATAGGGCAGTACCCAGCCCCCCCCAGCTAGCAGGGGCAGCCCCCGAATTGTTCGCCACACAGGGCAGTGCCCAGCCCTCCTGGCTGGCAGGGGGAGCCCCCAAATTGTTCACCCCACCAGGAGCAGAGCACTGCGGGGCTGGAGTGTCCCTGGGCACTGCCCCGTCCCCTACATGCACAGCACCCGCCCGACGCTGCAGCCCAGGGTCAGGCTAGTGGGGAGGGCAGGGGAGGAGCGGGGATAGCGACAAACAGGGAGCAGCACAGGGGGGCTGCAGGGGCTCCCCCCACACCCCGCTCAGCTACTGCAGGGAAGTG